AGTCCTCTGGTAGTTCCCCTGTGCTCCAGGATCTCTGAAAAATATAGTTCAGTGGTTCAGAGATCACATTTGCTAGTTCCTTGAGAACCTTGGGGTGTAATCCATCTGGTCCTGGCGATTTGAACTCGTCTAGGCTGGACAGGTGCTCACTTACTATTTTCTTGCCTATCTTAACTTGTGTTTCTATTCTGTTTTTTATCTGTAGCTCGGGTGTAGGATAAGGGTGGAGGATCATTCTCTGAGTTTGTGTGTTGGTTTATGAAAGTTTCATTATCAGTCTAGGTAACGTCTTCAGCGGAGTTTAAACTCCACTGAAGAGGTTACCTATCCTGGTAATGAAAAGTTCAGAAACCAACCCACAAGCTTGGAAAATGAATCTCCACCCTCAAAAGTAATTATTTCAAGTAATTATTTTTTTGCTGTTTTGATGTTATTATTTAGTGAAGGGGAAATTGGAAGCCTTCTACTCTTTTGAATGTGTTCAGATCATACACTCTGCTTTTAGACAACTTTATTGTAACCTGGAAGGAGTAGAATACAAAGTACTTCTTATTTAGCAAGGAGCAGGGATATAATTTATATAGCAATGCCAAAGTTTGAAGAGATAATGATTTCCCATACAAACACTACTTCTCCCTTAGCAACACAGAGCTCATTTTGCCTTATCAAACATTATCAGACACACTGTGAAATGGAGTGAGACGTCAAGGACCTCCCTCCCCCCCGCTAAGCTTCATGGTTTCATTTACTGGGTCCCAGTAGAGCAGTATCATGAGACCTGTTCAGTAAAATTAGCTAGAAATAGATTCAGTCAGGTTTCCAAAAAAGGCAAGGACTGGCCTAGGTTGGGATTTACTCTTCATTAGAGAACATCATTCAAAACTCAGAATGCTTATTGTTATAGAAATGGCTAGTTTATACTATTATTACTAAAAGAAAAAGTTGAGAGTTGATATTATTATCTTATTCTACTGCACCAAAGGGAGTTGGAAATCAATGCTTTTTCTTTCTTTCCCCCTTTTCTTACACTTTTCCCTTCCCTTTTTCCTCCCCATATTCCTATTATTTTCTTTTCCACCTTTGTATTTTATAAATAATAATAATAATAATAATAATAATAATAATAATAATAATAATAATAATAATAATAAAGGTTCAATAGAACATAAACATAGATTTTATTTGCATGCATCTTCTTTTATGTTTCAAATAAACAAGTAAAAAAAACAGGATTAAAACTAGGAATTCAGGTTAATTTTTATCATTAGTTGCTCTTTGGTATTCATGTCAGGTCTCAGGATAATAATATAGCATTTAGGGATAAAGATGTAGCCCAGTAAGGCCAGGCTAGAGGCCAGGATGGAGAAGATTTGCACAGCCACCATGTATTTTCCTTTGGTGCTTAGGTAGGTGGGAACAAAGGAGATCCAAACACTGCAGAAGACGAGCATACTGAAGGTGATCCACTTGGCTTCATTAAAGGTACCTGGCAGTTTTCGGGCCAGGAAAGCCACGAAGAAACAGGTGGCAGCCAGAAAGCCCATGTAGCCAAGGGCAGAGTAAAACATGGTAACTGAACCTTCATTACATTGCATCAGGATCTGTCCTGGTTGAGAATATAGATCAAAATCTGGGAATGGGGGAGAGATTCCCAGCCATATGATACAGATGCCCACTTGAATACCAGAGGAGGACAAGACAATGGAATTGGCCAGACTCTTCCTCAGCCATTTCCTCATTCTGCTGCCTGGCTTTTTAGTCAGGAATGCCATTACCACCATGACAGTCTTAGCCAGCAAGGAAGACACAGCAACAGAGAAAACAAAACTGAAAGTAGTTTGTTGAAGAAGGCAAGTCATTTTCTTTGGCTGACCAATGAATAGAAGGGTGGTCAAAAAGGAAAGTAAGAGGGAAATCAGGAGCACGTAGGTGAGGTCTCGGTTGTTGGCTTTGACAATGGGAGTTTCTTGGTATTTAATGAAGATTCCCAGAACACAGGCAGTGATTAGAGATAAAGTAAGTGCAAAGAGAGCCAGGATGAAACCCAATGTTTCTTGGTAGGACAAAAAGGTTATAACTTTGGGGACACATTGATCTTTCTTCTTATTGGAATTCTGGTCATCTGGACACTTTTCACAATGGGCTGCATCTGAAAAACACCCACAATTCTGGCTGAAATAGCATCTAATCTCTTTTCATAAAAGACTGCATATGTTCCATCACTATAAACTCAAATCAATCACAGCCACCTTATTTAAATAATTCTTTTGGAGGTGATGGAATTAGAATTTCTGTGCCAAACAAAATATTGACAAGAATATTGCATATTTGTCTCTTACTGGCACTCCATAAAGTTATGATAATCTATATATAGGTTTCCTAATTGATTTTCAGGAATCTTCTGCCATAACACTGTACAAATCATTTTAAAGAGGAGTCACAGAGCAGCACAAAACCTTCTTTGGTATCATGGAAGCACCTGCCTCTTTTCCCAGCTTTCATATTTGCATGATAGTGACAGCCAGAAGTCACTTCCAAAGCAGCCTGGTAAGAGATACTGCTACTTTTATGATTCCAAAAGAGATATTTTGATTATGCTCCTCTTCTAAATGAGTGTTGTGTCTTTGTTGTTACAGGTACCGTTATTGTCTCTGTTGTGTCATTTAGTTTTGTTGTGTCAGTTTGGTAAAGAATTAGGGAAACCATAATTCCCCAGTGTTCAAGCTTCCTACTGTAGCTCACCAAAATTGCAGCTGAATTCTCCATAACCCAAACCACCATCTCTAGTTCAAGAGGAGATCACTTGGAGTTCTAAAGCTACATATCACATCTCAAATCCTGGAATTTGACCTTCAAAACCTCTTCCAATATTCTACCAAACTTAACATATAATAGGTGAAAAGAATAGGCAAATGGAAGATATGGGGAGAAATTGTGTTACATCTAATAATTTATATTTAATTTGTTTAAAACGAATTTTACTTTTATCCTGATTCCATTTTTTTAAATGTTTGTGCTTGGCATGTCAGTGAAAGACCATCATGGCCTAAGGGTGGAAAAGCTGATGCATTTCAGTTGTAGCTTTATTCCCACATCAATGAAGGTGCATGTTCTGACCATGGTTTCATTTTCAGGGAGAAGCAGTAATTCTCCCTATAATTATCTGGCCCGTCTCAAGTTGAAATAAAGGTAGTTTCCCCTGTCCAGCTGTGTCTGACTCTAGGAGGCAATGCTCATCTCTGTTTTTTTAGCAGAGGGAGCCATTGTTGTCTGAAGATACTTCTGTGGTTATAAGGGCAGCATTAATATACGCTGAGGTGAATGGAATGCTCCCACCAAAGTGGTACCCATTTATCTACTTGCATTTGTATACTTTTGAATTGCTAAGTGGGTAGGAGATGGGGCAAGTAACAGAAGCTCACCCTGACACATAGCACTTGGGTCTCTAACTTGGGCTGTCAGCTTTCCAGCTGACAAGCTCAGCATCTTTAACTGCTGAACCATCACAACCCCCGTAAGTTGAAATAAGGATTGCTTTTTTTCCACAGCTGTAACAGGGTGTTGTTAGCCAGCCTTTGAAAAAAAATAGTTGGGTCCTTAAGGTATTTCTTTTATCTTGTTTTGGAATTAAGGGAAAATATGCTAGTAATTAGGTATAATATCTGGAGAAAGAAAACACTTACCTTCCTGTGTGGAAATCATTCCTTCTATACATGGGGAACAGTGATAACAGCAAACTGGTGCTCCTTCTCTTGTGAGTTTGGTGTATCCTGGAAGACAACTTTCAGTACATCTAGACAAAGGCACTGTCTAAACATAAAGACAATGTTGGGGTGTGTGTGTGAGTTTATATGAATGGAATTGAAAGTAGGGCTGGGATTACACAAAGGACTAAATCTTTATTTTCTCCTTAATTCTAGGTTGCTTCTCTCCTTGATTAGTTTCCATCCATTGTTTCTTGTCTTGTCTTGTCCCTTTGGAAAATAAGTTGTCCCCCCTCTTCTTTGTGGCAGCCCCTCAAATATTGGAATATTGCTATCATGTCAACCCTAGTCTTTCTTAGCTCTAGACTAGCCAAACCCTAATCCTGCAACCATTCTTCATTTGTTTATACAATCAAGAATTGTATTAGCTGTTTTGGCTACTGCTGCACACTCCTGGCTCAGTGATCATCCACTAGGACTCCAAGGTCCCTCACACAGTCACTGTTTTTAAGCTAGGTTTTGCTTAATCTGTGCTGTAAATCTGTAAATCCACCCAGATAACATTGGGTTTATAACAATAGTACTGTAATTTTGATTGCTATTTTTCTTTTCCAAACCTAATGTTGTTCGGGTGTTACAAACCAAAGGTTAATTAAATAAATCTCACACTTCCCATAAGTCTGTTTTCAATGGTCAGTTATACTTTTATCTTAAAAGCCTATTAATCTCTGGAGCCAATAATAGCAGATCCATCACTGAAGGCTTTGCAATCTTCACATCTCTATAAAATCCTGCTGGGCAACAGAGAATTCTGAAGATCAAAAAGCCTTGGAAGAATCCTGAAAAAGCACCTTGTAATACAGGGAGTCCTCTTTTGGTTGAAGAAGTCTTGATCAAACATGTGACATCTTTGACTTTCCTAATCTGGGACATTTTAAACATCTCCAGAGAGGTTTCTGATAAAACGTATCCCATTGATCTATACAACAAAGAGGGGTCCTAGGTGCTCTCTGAGCTTGTTTTCTTGCAGATGTTTCATTACCCAATCTAGGTAACATCATCAGTGCTAATGAGACTTTAGCTGTAATACTTTTGAAGTCACTGAGATTTATTTCTAAGCAGACTTGTACAACTTGTACACACAATGTGTGTGGCTTCAAGTCAGTGCTGCCTCCTGGTGACTTTCTGGACTATTACAGTTTTCTTGTCAAGATTTTGGAAGTGGTTTGCCCTTGCAAAGGCAGGATGAGAATGCACAATCTTTTGGTGTCCAACCCTGGTGTTTTAACCAATTCAACAAACTGACTATCTGGAACTACCAGCGTGTATAATAGTAGATACAGTAAATAATAAGAATCAAAGAGAAGCACCAACACCTACCCGATTGAATGATATTGGCCACACGATGGCACTTTGATTGATGGAGAGATTGATTTCTGAGGAGGCCTCTTTTTTTATACTGCCAACTTTCACCTCGGTAGGTATGTTGGCCAATACTGCCCAGTGCACAATATCAAAATCAACAGCAGGATCTCCTTTTTCATCCAAATAAATACCATTCATGGAAAGATTGTAAAGTTGGACATTTCTCAGGAAAGAATGAAGCTACAAAGGCAAGGGAAATTATGCTGTATCTTATACATTCACACCTGATCAAAATTCAATGCTTCTATGATTATTAATATGGATTTATAAAAGCCATGATGGCACAGTGGTTAGAATGCAGTACTGCAGGCTAACTCTGCCCACAGCCAGGAGTTCAATCCTGATGGGGCTCAAGATTGACTCAGTTTTCTATCTTTCTGAGGTCAGTAAAATGAGAACCCAGATTGTTGGGGGCAAGCTGACTGTATAAACCATTCAGAGACTGCTATAAAGCACTGTGGAGCAGTATATAAATCTAAATGTTATTGCTATTGTTATTTGAGGCTGTTCTGAACAACTGGACTTCTTTGGCTTTGGGCCTCTGTTTGCAAAGAAATTTTAAAATCCAAATCTCAGTCAGATTCTCCTGCCAGTTTTCTAAGTGAATCATTCTTTTAATCCATCTGGCTGAAAATGAACAACATAGCGCCTATGAGAACCATTTGATTCCTAAGTTAACAAAAATTAAAATACAAAAATAAATGTAACATTCCAGAATGCAGAAATAAAATGAACTAGTATTTTGATTAGTATGATCGGCCTCATAAAATCTGGAGGGATTTTAATGCTTTAATTTTAAAATATTTCATACATATATGCACATGGCATATACTTAGATTGGTGTCTCCTGTCTAAAAAAAATTGCTACAGAGGGATTGACCCTGAATTGACATTATTTATACAGAAGGCAGGACAAGAAGCAACGGATGGAAACAAATCAAGGAGAGAAGCAACCTAGAACTAAGGAGAAACTTCCTGACAGTTAGAACAATTAACCAGTGGAACAACCTGCCTCCAGAAGCGGTGAATGCGCCAACACTGGAAGTTTTTAAGAAGAAACTGGACAGCCATTTGTCCGAAATGGTATAGGGTTTCCTGCCTGAGCAGGAGGTTGGACTAGATGACCTCCGAGGT